GGGTTTCTGGATGAATGGAACGGGGGTAAAAATGGTAAGTTAGCTTAAAAATCGGGACTGATCTCTTGAAAAGCATGGATAGCATGTGTGCAATATAATGACTAGGGGCCTGATACTTCTAACATTAAAGTCAACTGGAATCCTGCCTTTAACTTCAGTGGGAGAAGGATGAGGCTGTATGGAGATCCTGAAAAGTGATTTCACATTCCAGTGAGGGCTTCTAAAAGGTTATTTTGAATTTAGCAGAAGCCTGAGATGAAATATTCCTTGGTTAATTGTTGCTGAGTAATATATTACTCTAAGAAGAATTCTGTGGGTGAAGAGAGAAAGTGGACCTCTTAAAGTTTTTATAGATATGGTCCAAAGAATAATAAAACTTTCAATTGGATATTAGGAAAAGTCAAAGGGGGGGGAACAAGATTTCCAAAAATGGGTATCTAAAATATTGGGCTGGATTTTCACACCTGCTGAGTACCCACAACTCCAGCTGAAGTCTAAAGTGAAAATCACCTGATCCAACTCCCACTAAAACCAAGAAGTGTGGCCGTTGGATTTGTATTGGTGTGTCTATTGGTTTTTATGTCATGTTTATTGGTTTGTTTAATGATCTGTGTGTATGTGTGAGATGGGTGTTAAGCTAAAGTTATACCACCATCCTTGTGATTTCCATAGTTAATATTTTTGCCTTTTTGATGTTTTAATGGAATCTCTCCTCTCTAACTGCACTTAAATGTCACTGTAAGTAACCATGCTTTTTGTTTTCAGATTGTTGGTGTATTGCATGTGTAATTTAGGAATTATTTCTCATTGTCTCAATGGAATTCTTTGATCCTCTCCTCTTTTGTCTTGGCTGCTTGGTTTGTAATAATTACTGGCTGAGCCAGTGGTTTTTTCTGGGTGTTTTCTGGTTTTGAAATGTTTCTACTGTGTTGCTGTACTTATTGCATTGTTGCCAAAACAGTTAATAGGATCATTTGCAATGTGGATTGGCTCAGTGCAGTACGGCGCAATTTGTGTGTTGCTTACTTTCTGTTTCTATAAAATAACAGCATAACATTTCTACCTCTCTCTTCTGTGCAGGTGGCATTGCTGGAGGTATTGAAATCTGTATCACCTTTCCCACAGAATACGTAAAAACACAATTACAATTGGATGAAAGAGCAAATCCCCCTCGGTATAGAAGCATTGGTAAGAGGATAACAACTCCTATTTGTGTGCATTTTAAAATATCAAACAAAGTTTCTAGTAGACTATTAGCCTAGCAGGCAAATCTTTGTGATTCATTTGTAAAGTAAAAGTTGGTTATCAAGACTTGGAAATTGTCTTGCAGGTCACTGTGTGAGGCTAACCATTCAGGAACATGGTGTGAAGGGTCTGTACAGGGGCCTAAGTTCTTTGTTGTATGGCTCTATTCCAAAATCTGCTGTCAGGTAAGGTGATCTCTAAATTATTATTCGTAAATATAATAAAAATGTCCAATTTGTGGAAGGACTTCACTGATAGGTTTTTATCCATTTTATAGTGTGCTTTTTCATCCATAGATCTCAAAGTGCTAAATGAGACTGGTTTTTGCTTTCTGCTTTTTTTATCTTATTTGTAACTATATCATTTGCCACCATTTTTTCCTCCCTCCCCCCCTCCCCCAATTTCTAAAGGACTGCGGTGTGCTCAGTACAGTTCTCTCTCTTGAGCTCCATCTGTATTTTATTGGCCTTGCGATGTAGGTCTTGGAAAAATAATGTTCTGTATTGAAACTTTATGCAGATTCTTAGGCCAGGTGAACATCTGGAAAAAAGACATAACTTCAGTTTGACTGTTACACAGTTTGAAAGGGGAAAATAGTGTGAATGGTCCATTTGTTTGTCATAGTTATTACTTCAGTAATATCAAGGGAAACATACCAAATCACACAGGGTAAGATTGTCACTCTCCCTACTTGGTGGTGTAAGGTGTCCCCTTCAGTCCCCGTGTGGGTTACCTTTATTGTAAGTAGCAATGTGGGCCTGGACAGTGCTTCGCCTCCCATGTACATAGGCAAGGAGTGGTAGGGCAGAAGTGGGGAGTGGCTGTAGCCTTGGGTCCCTCTCCCCAATGTTGTACCAATACAGAGGGGACTGTAATCTGTGCTGGGTATAGAGCTGGTGCAGATTCCATCTCTTTTTGCTCCCTCCCCCTCCCAGAGTATGGTGGGATCATGGAACCATACAGTGGCTGTGAGCAGGACTGTGGTCTGTTCTTTTCCTTGGGCAGCTTAATTGTTCATTGCCCTTCGCTCAGGCATGTGGCAAAGTCATAATCTCACCCACAACTTGTCTTCATTTCCACTTTACTAACATTGGATGGGGAGGAGAATGGCACATTTAATTTAGCAATTTCATTTCTGATTGGAAAATATTTATTTTCATAATAGAAGGACTTTGGTTAAAGGACTGAAGGAGAGAAGTTTTCCAAACCACAGGTTTTTTTAGTCTTGGTGAGTTGCTGGGATATTGGATACCAGTCCTCATTAAAAGTAATTAAACATCCATAGCTGAGGACCATTACTTTTTTTGCAAAAGAGAGAGGATAGAACAGTGGGCTGGATACTTCTGACACTGTCGTTCAAGATGCTTCCTGTCTGCTTTTGAGGAAATCTGTGGTTGAGAAAACAAAATCTTATGTTCCCTGCAGGTTTGGAATGTTTGAGTTCCTCAGCAATATTGCAAAGGATTCAAATGGGAAACTAGACAACAAAAGGAGTTTACTTTGTGGCCTTGGAGCTGGTGTTGCAGAAGCTGTCCTAGTAGTCTGTCCAATGGAAACTATAAAGGTGGGCAGAATGTTAATATTCATAGGCTAGAACATCATCTACTTGTTGGAAACTTCTTCCTGTCAGCTAAACAAGTCCATCACTGTTTCCTCATTGTGTTTTTAAAATGGCCTACCACATTTTAGCTTGTGCTATTTTCATCCGTCTTAGGGCAACTAGACAAAAGTATTATCACTTTACTGTGCAAACTTATGTAGTTATGAAATATTTTTGTTTAAAAGGCAGGAGAGGGAGTTTTCCCATAAATCGTGAAGTTGGCAGTATTGCAGAACCTAACAAAATAGCCCCTATTCATATTAAATGATGGACTAGAGCAGTGATTCCCAAACTTGTTCCGCTGCTTGTGCAGGGAAAGCCCCTGGCGGGCCGGGCCGGTTTGAGTACCTGCCGCGTCCACAGGTTCGGCCGATCGTGGCTCCCACTGGCTGTGGTTTGCTGCTCTGGGCCAATGGGAGCTGCGGGAAGTGGCGCAGGCCGAGGGACGTACCGGCCGCCGCTTCCAGCAGCTCCCATTAGCCTGGAGCAGCGAACCACGGCCACTGGGAGCCGCGATCAGCCAAACCTGCGGACGCGGCAGGTTCACAAACCGGCCCGGCCCGCCAGGGGTTTTCCCTGCACAAGCGGCGGAACAAGTTTGGGAACCACTGGACTAGAGGATAATAGTCATGAGACAATGTTGTGCTTAAAGTTTTGTTTTAAATTGTTACAGGTGAAGTTCATTCATGATCAGTCCTCTTCAAATCCAAAGTACAAAGGGTTTTTCCAAGGTGTCCGTGAGATTGTTCGGGAACAAGGTATAATCATGTAGCAAAAACTACTGTGGGCTTTTATCTCTGCATAACTTAATGGGGGAACCATAAACATCCTTTGTTCTATTTGAACCTAATCGTATAAGATAAATGTGTTGAGAGAGAACACGGTTTGTTCCAGTGAATTATCCAGTCTTTCAGTAGACTGGCAGTTTCATTCTGGCTGTCTAATTTTCATTCACACTTTTAAAATTTATATATAAAATGAAAATTATGTAATCTGTTACAGGCTTACGTGGAACATATCAGGGGCTGACAGCTACTGTCCTCAAACAAGGTTCAAACCAGGCTATCCGTTTCTTTGTGATGACTTCCCTTCGAAATTGGTATCTAGGTAAAATGAGTCAGGCTGGCAATTTAATCGTATTATGAGAAGTAGATTAAAAAAAATATTAAATAAGATTTTAACTTGCTTAAATGGCAATGTTATAAAAGTTTGATCAGTACTTCCTACTGTTTTGTTGACCACTTAATTGAATATGAATATTGAATATATTCTAAATTAAGAACTAAATTATTTCTAAAAGCATTAGCATTTGTAGAGGTATATGGTCTAATTGCTTTATCTCCTATATGTGCTTGATCAGGTGATAATCCCCACAAAAAGATGAATCCATTTATTACAGCTACATTTGGTGCTACTGCAGGTGCAGCCAGTGTCTTTGGCAATACTCCATTAGATGTCATCAAAACCAGGATGCAGGTAAAAATCACTATAGAAACTAATCTTAAAATGAACTGGCTCGTGGATAGTGGATATCAGGACACTTAGCAGAGCTCTGATGTTTCATTTAAGAAGGCAATAAGAACCTCATACACTGGTCTCTTACACCTACACTCTATCTGGGTTTTTGTGACTCTTGAGGGTTATTATTACTGTAGTATGTAGGAGCCCTAGTCGTTGACCCAGTACCCCATTGTGCTATGCACGGAACAAACACCGAGCAAAAAGACGCATTTCACCAAAAAGTTTGCATTTGACTTCAGATCTAGCATAGTGCTCTGCTAATGGCTGTGTCAGGTACCACGCAGCACAACTACCCTAAAGGGAACCACATTTTGTGAAGAAATCCTTGGATTTGCTTGGTTTCTGCTGAAGTTTTACAAGCTTAATTTCCATTTGTAAAGGAAAGGTGTATTAATGATGGCATATCATTGGATTTGTCTTTAAAAATGAAAACTAGGCATAAAGGCTTCAAAATTTGTTACTGGGATTTTTTTCACAGAGAAATGAATCCAAAGTGGCAGGTAGAATTTTGTGGAAATCCTGCAGTTTTCTCTCTGGGCCTCCCATGTTTTTCCACTGTTCATATCATTTTAGCAGATGGTACTGTGACAGTTCTGGGATTCTGATTGAGGGGCAGGGAGGTGACCTCTTTCCAAAAAGCCATTTCTTAATTACAGTTCATACTGGAATCTGCTAAAAGCTGAGATCTCTAATCACTCAACTCACTTCATTTATATTTTGCATTTCAGGGCCTGGAAGCCCATAAATATAAAAATACACTAGATTGTGCCTATCAGATCCTCAAAAAGGAGGGCTTATTAGCGTAAGTAGATTCAACTATTGTCTATATATGTGGGATATTATAGCTGCAATATTTCAGTGAAACTATTGTTTTCCATATTTTGATGGGTGACGCTTTTTAGCCCAGCCTACACCTCTTTGCTAGAATGGCATTTACCTTAGTACTGTTGTTTTGGTGGTTTTTTTTGTTTTTTTTTGTTTTTTTTCCCATGGGTTCACTTTTTTTTAGTGCAGTTTAGAACTAGCATATGCCATTTACATCTACTGTTCCTTACCCTCCTCTGCCCCAAATGACTATATGTCTGTCACATGCACACTGGTCACATAGGAAAAGAAGGTGGAAGCATATTTGATAACTTTCACTCCTTTCCATACATGCGTCTGGAACAGTTTATGATGTTGATCTTCTATAAGAACTGTTGCCTATTTGCCAGCAGATGGGACTGATTGCCAGTTTATGAATCTGATATAATCAGTTACTGTAGGCAACTTGTTTTAGGAATACTTATTAGAAACTATTTACAAAACTGTAAGAGTTCAACTTGCCATTGAAATTGACTTTGTGAAATAGATTTATAGCTGTATACGAAACTTCATTGTTCAAGTTGTCTGACTTTTTATTCCAAAAACTAAAAATATGTTCTTCCTTCTGTGAAGCATTTTCTTATTTATAATTCTTCTACCTACAGATTTTACAAAGGAACAGTTCCCCGTCTTGGCCGAGTCTGTTTGGATGTAGCAATTGTGTTTGTTATTTATGAAGAAGTGGTCAATGTTCTCAACAAGGTCTGGAAAACTGCCTGATGCTGCTTGTATAAGGCTGACGAGGACAGTTTGGATAGCTGGCTAGCCAAGTCCAATGAGTGCAGATCTAAATTGAATTTATTGCCTATGGTTTATTATCATAGGTGTTTGAAATGCAAACGCTATCATTCCATCTTCATTCTTTAAAGTGACAAAACTAATCCAGACATTACACTACTTCAAAGTTTATAAGTTGTATGGTGTAGCGAAAAGGCTAGTAGGGCAATATTACTAACTGCATACATGCTGGCTCCTAACACAGCTGAAATTGGTGATCTTGGTAGGCAGAAAACCAATTAAAGTAAAAACACTTGGCTAGATTCTGCTGTTTACATGAGTGTATCTCTGGATTAATTTTGTTGACCATTAAACTCCAAAGAGGCCCCATCTAAACACAATGCTGTGTCAAACAACTAGAAATCTTTTGTTTGGTTTGGCTTTAAATGTATTTTAGTTAAACCATTAACCCATGTATGGACACTCTTTTAATTTAAACCAGGCTTGTATAGCTAAATTTACCCTGACGCAGGGTGAACCACATAAACTAGTTTTATGTCTAATTAAAAGTGCACTGGTTCCAAAACAGATTTAGGTAATCTGATTCTTAAATATGTGCAACTTGTGTGTGTAGACAAGGCTTGAGTGCCTTCAATAGAGTTACTGTTTACCTGCACTGGTATAATTGAGAGCAGAGTCTGCCTCACTGTTCTTGAAAGATCACATATGCTGAAAAATTGGAGAAGGGAGCACACTTCCCATGCTGGCTGACAGCATCTGTCAGGCTGAACAACTGTGTAAATAACTTTCTTTCTTTCTTTCTTTTCTTTCTTTTTTACTTTGGAGTTGGATTTCTGGGCCAGGAGGAAGCTGCCTTTTGGGCTCCTGCTGTGAGAATGCTGGACCAGCTTTCTGATCTGAGGCACTAGAAGTGGCCAGGAATACTTGGGACCAGATCACTGGCATATAATAGGGATGTAAATATTGGTTAAAAAAGTTAACCTTTAAGACTATTAAAATTATATAATTTAATTGGTTAACCGACGCGGCTCCAGCGCAGGGGCCCCGCTGGGGCTGAGGGCCTGGCTGGGGCTGTGGGACCAGCCGGCCTGGCTGGGGCTGTGGTTATCGGTTAACCATTTAACCTTTTACATCCCTACTATATAAGGGCCCAGTCCTGCTATATTTACTTAAATAAAGCTCATGTTGAATTCAGTGAGGCTTACTTGAGTAAGGACTGCAGGTCTAGCCCTATTCTGAAATTGCAGAATAAAGTTTCCAAAACTTCTACAGTGTTTCATGCTCTGTCTGTATTCTGGTAACTGTACTTGGCCATTGCAATCTTACTGGAGATCTGGCCCCAGGTTTCACTAGCCCCTGCTTCCAGCTTCTTGAGGGATATCACTGAAAGTTGCTCTGATGTTCTGTCTGGAATAGGAACTCAGGGAGCTGCATCTTCAAGGGTTAGATAATGCCCTAAAACATATTTTGTAGTCTTTGTATTTATGAATGGATAAATATGTTGGTTCTTAATATATGCTTTAGTAATCAGCCTGCCAAACTGGAACACTGAGCATGGCAGATGGGGTTTTTGTCCCTGAAAGAGAGAATAAACTTCAGACATTATAACACTTGTTCTTCAAAAATGATCCCAGTTGACCTCTTTATTTTGGTGGTACACTAATCATTAAGGCATTTGAAGACGTTTTTAATTTGTGAGCATGGATCCTCTGGGGAATGGGGGTGGGGGAAATACCTCTCTCTTACGCTAGTGTAATTTCAGAATTACTTCAAGGGTTACACCAGTGAATCTGAAGATAATTTGGGTCCGAGGTGCATAGAGTTTAAAAAAGACAAGCATTAAAAAAAGTTGGGGAAAGGTCCAAATCAGTGTAGATAAAACGTCATCTAACATACTGTATCCTATAGCATAGACTTGCTGTGGCATTTAGACTTGGACAAGCCAGAAAATGTCTGACTAGAGCTAAACTCACGGCAATTTAGGCAAAGGATCATGTCCAAGCAAAGGTACTGTCCTGTCTCCTGTAGTATCTGAACATCCCTTCCTCTTGTGGTTCTCACCACTAGCATTTGGTTGGATTTGTCACCAAGTACAAGAGATTGCCATATTGCATCAATTAAAATTGGAAACTTAGTTGTAGAAGCTTCCTTTACTGTACAGGAAACTTGTGCCAGTCCACTCTCACTTGCTCTCAGCAAGCATTGGCCAACCGAGTGGTGCATGTTTCTCTATGAATTGTCCATTTACATTCGATATTAAAGTATTTCTATGATCTGAGACTTGCAGATAATTTGCTGCTGGGTTTTCGTGAATACAAAGCACATGCTGCCAAGGTTGGGGACATACAGAGCATATTAGGAACTCCTCTAGAATTGAGAGCCGTGTTAAGACCTATAACAGGTGTTGCTTTTAACTGGCCATCAAGGAATACTGTATTTAACACATCGGCTGAATTATTGAAATTTTAGGACACCAAGCTCTAAAGCTATATGCATTACTTCATAGCTGCCATAATATAGTCACTGATACCTCCAGAATAGGCAGGGCTTCCACCTTCATAACTTAAAGAATAATTTATTGCCAAAGTCATTACAACCCTCTTTACTGTCTCAATAAACAGCAAGGCTGTCCCCAGGCACTATTGATTGGAGTTTTCACATTGACCAAAATTGTGTCCACTAAAATCACTCTGTAGTTGCCGAAACTTCTTGATCCCCAGTGACCCATCTGTCTTAACTGCGCCATCAAAGGGACACCAGGTGAGTTCTCTTGGCCGACTGTTCTCTGATTCTACAGCTCTACCTTCAACCTTAGGTGGTTTGCCATTTATAGCTGCATCAGCCACTGGTATAGATAACCAGTTCAGAGCCTTTGTAAATGTTGTCCAAGTTCCTCATTGCCACAGAGACTAAGTATAATTCATTGCTAAAAATGGCTTTAGTGGCCACTTAGTTTCAGAGCTCAGCTGAGGAGGAAGCAACGCCTAACGTGACAAACTACAGTGACTTAAATAGTTATAACAGTGGCTATGGGAGTTGGCTCTGGCCTATCAAATAGAAATCGCAATAAAACTTTAAATACTAGGACATTACGCTTAAACAGGAGAGACCTGAGGAAGTGACAGGAAAGCATCAAGTCTGATCATGAAGTTTAAATGTTGAGGGGGGTGACTTTTAGAAATACAACTCAACCCAGCTGTCAGTATGTGGGTTTAGGGACTTAGTGTATTTAGCTTTGTTCGTTTAGCCATACTGGCTCATAAGCCACTTATTTTGTTATCCTGAGTCTGCTGGACCAGAAATAAAAACACGTCATTTTCAGTTGTGGCAAAATCAGAATGATTGTTTACTTACAGACAGTATCTTTACAAATTGGCAAGTAAAAATACTGTACATAGTTATGCTTATTTGTACGATACCTAGTATTGGTTGGGTCAGTAGTATGTGGACTTGCCAGTTGGTCTGGTTGGTAATACATGGAATTACTAGAAGGTCTCTAATTTTATCCATTACTGGGCACCGTAACCAGGGAATGCTCTATTGATCAATGCTTCAAGGAAAGACACTTTCTAATGTTTGTGCCTTTTTAGTGTTTCTTTAACATTTCTAACTTGTTTGCTACATTTATTTTTAATGTGAAATAATTGTTTACAAATTCAATCTTTTCTCTTTCAAAAAAAAAATAACATCTAAATATGGAGCTTCTTAAATTTCTGTTTAAGTGGATTTCATCAGGGAAAACAAATGAGAATTTGATACATTTCAAAAGTGCTAATCACTGGGTGAGAAGATAATGGACCAAATTTTGCTCTTGCTTTAAAGTTTAAACCAATGCAATCTTGTTGCTTATGAGAGCAGAACTTGCCACTGTGATCTGATTAGTGCTGTAGTTCATATTATTTGGGTAAATATATCCAACTAACACAATCCCTTCTGCAAAAGATATTTGTTCTATATACCTCTGTATTCTCCACAGCTGGATGGTGCAGAAGGAAACCATCTCAGAAATTCAGTAGAATTATATGGATGGGAAAGTAATTATGCTTGGACATCCTCTTCTCATTCAGCATCACTGGCAGTGTTCTCCTTAGAAACTCCACATAACTACTGGATGGAACAGAGGTAGGAAGCACCTATTCAGCTACTGAAGGTGATTGTTTTAATTTGTTAACTTGTTCTATCCCTGCATTTTTACTGTGGGGAGACACTTGGGGCCCTTAAATAGATACAGTGGTAATTGGTTCTTGAAATCTAGATATGGGGTTCCTTGTAGGCTGCACACTAACTGATATATAGAAATTCATCGTATGAAAATGCATATTCACAACCTATACTGATCAGATTACAATGTTCAAGCACTCCAAATGGAAGTGTGTGCACAACTTTTATGAATGCAGTCCCAAATGTCTTGTAAAGGGTTTCTCATCTCTCACTAGCAGGGTTGCATAGAGGTATGGTTTGAGAGAGTCTGGGGGAATGGAAAGTGAAACCATGTTCTTCTGAGTGTTGCCTGTTGCACTCACTAGGGGAGGCAGGTATGATAGTGACGGTCTGGCTGCACTGAAGTTTGTTGGAGTTCTTGGCAATGTGACATCTCCTTTATTCATTCAGATCCCCCTGGTGCTACACATGTATCTTACTTTGTCTCTGATGTAATTAAAGTTACTATTGATCACTTTTTAAAACGTCATTACAGATATTTCAAACAATCCTCTAAACTGTACATGCAATTTGGGAATGTGTTCAAATGTATTTGCATAGTTGAATTTGCACTACACAGAGCGATCTTGAACTGATTTCTAGCCATTAGAGGTCAGTGTTCTACTGCAAATGCTTAGAAAGAAGTACAGCAGGGAAATATTCAGTCACTGTTATTGGTAGTAAGCAGCTGATCTAGTATTGTTTTAGATAGGTGTGACTGACCCTTTACAACCAAATAAAACATGACAAGTCTCTATTCTAAGGAGCCTACAATTCGATAACTATATTTACTGAAGGCCTCAGTCTGGAAACCCTGCTCCCAAAAGTGAGGATTTGCAGGCTTGGGCCCCCTAATCAGTTACACTGAAATCCAGGAAATCTCTGAAAAGGAAAAATTAACATGTTGTTGAGTGTTGCAGAAATTGAATGCAAAATAATCTGGCCTTACAAGGAGGCTCGAGTTGCCACTGAATAATATGATTTCTCTTTTGTATGCATTGTGGACTGGCTCTGAAGTTTTAGAAGGACATTAGAAAACCAGTGAGCCATCTATTTCAAAACTGCCATTTGCTGTTGAATCTGATATATACCACTTATATTA